CTGAGTTAGATTTAGGTTTTTGAAGGTTGGATTAAGGTTTTAGAAGATTCGAGGAGTAATCTGGGCAAATTTGGAAAAAAATTGAAAATTTTTTGAAAAATCTAAATTTTTTCTGGAAAATATGAATTTTTTGATGAAAATTTAAATTTACCAATGAATTTTTCAATAGGACTTTGAATTTTTTGGTCAGATTTCGATCAGATTTCCAGAAATAGATAACAAACCCAGTTTTCAGTTGAATGTTCTAGGGACACCTTAGTAAAGAAGAAAAAGAAAAGTAGGATTAGAGAGAGTGGCTCGGGAAATTCTGAGGAAAAGTTGAGGAGCGTGACCTTTATACTGTCCTAAAATGACATCATTTTGGACAACCCAAGATCCACACATTGACCTGATGACTCGCACGTTGACCCGCTCTTTAACTCGACCCGATTGCAAGGTTTTTTTTTTCTATTTTATTTTTATTTTTATTTTTCAACTCATTTTATTTTTATTTTTTTATTATAGTTTTATTTTTGAGAAATTTTGTAAAAATTATTTCTATTATTTTATTTTTGAAATTAAATAGGTTTTAAAAAAAGGAAAAAGAAAAAAATTATAAAAAAATGTTTTCAAATAAGTAAAAAAAATCTTTTCAAATAAGATTTCAAAATAATAAAAAAAAACAAAAAAATCTTTTAAGTTTTCAAAAAATATTTATAAAACCAAAAGAAAAATCCATTCAATAAAAAAAACCTTTTTCAAATAAAAATTCCTACAAAATAAATTCATAAATTCTACCAAACTATTGAGAAATTTTTATGGATTTAATTTTTAAAATGGAATCCACCAAACTATTGAAAAATTTCATAAATCATTAAAAATAAAAAATAAAATTTATCGTTTAAACTATTGGAGGATTGCTTCAAATTAAGTCCTACCAAACAATCGGGAGACTTAATGAAATTTTTAAAAATTTTCATAAATCTTTTTATAATAAAATCTCACCAAACTATTGGGAGATCAGCTTCCAAGTATATCCTACCAAATTATTGAAAAACTTTACTAATTTTTTGAAATAAAATAAATTAATAAATCCAACGACGGAGCTTCTTCAAAGTGGGACATTAGTCTCCATAAACACTCTTGAAGTGAGAGAATTATCTTAAATTGCTAACAAACTATTGGTACAATTTTCAGACTAATTTTTAATATTAAACAATTTGATAAATTACAAATATGATCAAGGCTTGGATAATTAAGATCAAACTGCTACCATCTTTTAGATGGGCGTTGTGAGAGTGTTATAACCTTCATCACACATAACTGTACTTCCAAACTTAAATATGATTTTGTAAATCAGAATCTGTTTTAGGTGACCAATCATATATAAACAAAAAAGATTAGTGGTAACTCTTTTAATTCATGTTTAGCGATAAGTCCACGGATTTATACGTTATAATAGTGGGATAACTTACTTTAATAAGTCCCCATTATGTGTAGGCAAAGATAAAAGAAGTCTGCTGCGTGATAGATTAAGAAATGACAATGGAAGGAAATCCTAGTTTTGATATTATGTTAAATATTAAACTTAAAATCAATTAGAAGTAAGTGAAAGAACCTAACCTAAATATAAAATTATAAAAAATTAAATATTTATTAGATATGAGATAACTCAGTTTAATAATATGAAACTAAATTTTATGTGTGTGTGTTTGGGTCGAGTTTGTTATGCTAATCCTTGTTTTTTTTTTTTTTTTTTGTTTGATGCTATTAATTTTCGTTATTGAATGTAAGATAGCCGAATGGGTTCTTTTTATTTTCATGATTTTTAATTCAAGTTTTCTTTTTTTCTTTATAGTTTTGTATATTTATGTGAAAAATTCGTTTTGAAAGTGAGCTTTGTTTTAGTACTTTCATTGCTAGAAAAATGGAGTAAATAAAAAAGGAAAATTTTGTCTTTTGAGATTATAAAACTTTTAAAGTGAAGACAGTCAAAAATATTTGTTTTTTCTTCAATAGTTATTATGAGATTATAAATTTAATTCAAAGTTATGCAGATATTGATGGCAACAATTAGAAAATTTGAGGCCAAAGCAAAGTCCTTTCATTATAATTTTAACAGCATTAACCTTTTTTTGTAACAATAGTCAATTACAAAATTATAAGGAGAAAAAATTTATAAAAAATATAAGTGAAAAAATTGAATATCACATGAATATATATATATATATATATGAAGTTTATCCATCATAAAATAACAATAATGTCAAATGTGTATAGGATGCTAAATAGTATAAGATGATAATTATTTTATATTATATTTAATTTATATGTAAAAAAAAAATTATAAGAAAAATTAATCATCTTCTTGATATAAGATGATTCAATATTTTTCAAGTGAAAATGATTATTTTCAATTCATAAGATTAAACTCAAATGTTTTATTATACTTTTAAAAATTATATTAATAATTTAAATTGTATAAATTTTAAAAAATAATTTTATTTCATAAATAAATTATATTATCATAATCCTTACACATATCAAATATAAACTAAAATGATACTATTTAATCTAATATTATTTATAATATTATGTTATTTTATTTTATCATAATTTTATATATCAAATATATTATTAAATAATTAATATAGTGAAACATTCTTAAATAATTAATATACCTTTTTTTTTTCTTCAGAAGTCTTCCTCTACCACTACAATTATTGGGTATGTGGGGGACAATATACGTAGTCCAAGAAGCTGTCCTACCTTATTGGAAAAAAATGTTTCTCACACGATGTAGAATTCTTTTTGTAATTTCACGTTTTGATTTTTATCGCATACACTTTATTTAGGGTAAGTTTGGATTCAAACGGAGGGACAGTCCGGCGCGGTGAGAGATTTTTTTTGGCTTTAATCGCGCCGATCACCCGTTTGGATTACTTTCAATGTGGCACCGCACCGACCCACGTCTCCGGTAGCCAACTGGAGCGGTATAGCACCAGCGGGCAACTGAGATGTTTTTTTCTCAGTTTTATCCCTGATCAAATAACAATTGCCAATGCCTTCTTTTTTTTTATTTAAAAAATTATGAAATTATTTGTTTTAATTTAATATAACATATAAATTTTATTATTATGTAACAAATTAATATAAAATTTATTATTATATTATATTATTATTTTAATTAAAATAAATAATTATGTTATAAAAATGAAAAACAAATATCTTTTGATGTATTATTATTTTTATTAAATTTTAATTATTTATTAATAAAATTATTATTTGATATAAAAATAATTTAATATTCTTTACTTATTTATTAATTTTATAATTTTTAAATAATTTAAAATTTTTATTATATATAAATATTAATCTAATATCTTTAATCGTCATTTTTCGTTTCACTACAATTCACTTTACCAATATTAACACGATTGAATCTAAATGTATTCTCTTATAATTAATTTTAATATTATTATTATAGTAATTAATTTATTTTTATTATTATTTTTAATTTTATCATAATTAATTTATTGATCATTCAAATAGATCTTCACTTTCGTATAATTTTTTTAATTTCTTTAATTTATGAAACATTTTAGTTGCAGTAATTATAATATAATTAATAAATTTTAATTCAAAATTATATAAATTTTATTAAAATTTTATATATAAAACTTACCTTACAATTATAAAATTATAATAAAAAAATATAGGTGATATCCTCCCCCAATTTGAAAGCCACTTGCAGTCAATATCGAGAAGAGAGTATACTGTTTTTGCATTCTGGGTGGATTATTCTGCCCATGACTTGTATATGGTAACAAAATAATGGGAGCCAGCCAATAATTTACTACCAATATTTTTCAAATATTTTTTAATTTGGTAATGATTTAAATTATCTTTTAATTTTTAACTGTTATTTTTTTTATATTTATTGAACAATGCTTTAAATTTAATTATATTTTTTATTTAATTTATATTTAATATATTATCAATATATAATATTATTTATTATTAATTAATCACATAATAATATTTTATAAAAATTGATTTTAAAATCTTAAAAATTTTAAAAACAAAAACACTAAATTTAAAAAATATATTTAAAATTAATTTTTTTATGAGATATAATTATATGATTCATTCAAACATATAATTATATGATTCATTCAAACAATAAATTAAATATAATTTTTTTACTTTTATAAAAAGCATTTTTTCTTTTATTTTAAAATTTGTACATGTTATGCAGAAAAGTACTACTACAACCGCCGCTAACCAATAATAAAAGCACCGCGACAATTCAAACTGTTTTCTCCTGCTTTCATTGCGCTAACTAAATCTTCTATCGTTCACGCGCTGTAGCCTCCGAAACAAGGCCAATCGCCTGTTTTCCACTGTACAGGGACCAGCTGTCCAGCTCGGTCAAACATGGCTAATTCCAATTGGAATGTGATTCCACGCGATGAGCATCGCACGTGGGAGTAGAAAACCAAAGTTCCTTTTTAATAATCGACATGCCGCCAAACAAAGAAAAGAAGAAAGGTCTCAGGCTGTCGATACTGAATGAAGATTACCCTATCCCCTCGTCTTTTATGGAAAGCTAACGTTGATTTTCTCCAGGAAAATTAAAAAATTTTTTAATTGGAAACTTGGAGGTGTAACATTAAGTTTTCAACCAAATATGACAGTAAATAAAACAGCAAAATCTTTGCTCTTTCTTATCAATCAATATTCATCTTCTTTTCCTATCTGCAAAGGTTCTGGGGTTCTGGCTTCTTCAGCCAGAATCTTTCTACGCCATTGAAACGAGTGGAACGGATTTCAAGTAGTGGTTGGCTTGTTTGGCTTTGGGTGTGGTTTTTTTTTTTTAAGTTTCGTGGTGCAAAATCTCTGACCTCTCTGGAGCTTGCAGCAGTGTTCGCTTTGGCTTTTTTTCTTTGTTAAACTTCAACTGAGTTCCAGGTTGGTTTTTATGGTTCTTCAGTGTTTTGCATGGTTTTGTTTTCTACCTTTTTCATTAAAGTTCTAACGCTTTTCTTCACTTTGAATGGGGTTTCCTACTATTTTATTTCATTGGTTTTCCGATTTCTTGTTCAAGAAACTCTTTTTTTAACTTCAATTTTTTCCTGACATGATTCTTTGCCAAGCAAGTTAATTTTTAAAGAAAAACATTTTTAATGCAAAATATATAAACACGAGGCGATAAGTTATACAAATTTGTAAAACTCAAGAGATTCCGTATTTAATACTATTACTTTAAGTATGGGATCTTTTCGTAGTCAAAGTTTCAGACTTTTCGTGGGCCTCAAGAGCTCCTGTGACTTGTTCATTTACAATAACCGTAGTGACCACTGTTCCAACCTTTGCCTTCTGCCTTTTGGCTTTAGCTTCACGTTAAAGTTGATTGCGGATGCTTAAAAGCTTGAAGGTATTACTCCAGTTTTCAATCCATGGTGAAGCAAAAAATATGAGTTGACTTGATGTTTTCTTTCATTCTCCAATTGTCAATCCCCGGAGTCCTTTTCGGACATGATTTTGCCTTTTAACAAAACTTTATCACCATCACATTTTCATTGCTTTCTTGTTTTTTAGAGTGTTTTTTTTTTTTTGGATCATATTCAGGCATATACATAGTGATATGTTGGTATATCTTTACAGGGAATGTGAGGAAATATATTGATTGGAATCAATCGAGCTCTAAGTGATTTTTGTATTATTTCACATCACGTTGAGTGAATATGTCTTCCGCTACTTGGGTTACTTCTCTGTCATGTTCAAGCTCTGTGATTGAATCCTTCAAGGAGACATCTACTCCTGTTATATTCCAATGGCTGAGATTCATTTTCCTCTCGCCATGTCCTCAGAGAGCTCTCTTCTCTGCTGTTGATCTTTTGTTCTTGATTACTCTCCTCTTCTTTGCGGCTCACAAGCTCTATTCTAGATTCTCAGGCAATCCCCATGGCCGCTCTGACATCAACAAGCCTCTCATAAGAAGCAACAGGGCCCTTTCCAGGACTTCCATATGGTTCAAACTCTCTTTGGTTGTAACGGTTGTCCTGGCGTTTTGTTACGCTATTATCTGCATTCTTGCATTTAGTAGAAGTAGCCAGGAGCGGTGGAAACAATTTGATGGAATATTTTGGTTAGTTCAATCCTTAACTCATGCGGTGATTGCAATCTTAATCATCCATGAGAAGAGATTTGAGGCTGTTAACCACCCTCTCTCTCTCCGAATTTATTGGATGGCGAATTTTATCATCATTTCCTTGTTCACAACTTCTGGGATCATTCGTATGGTGTCTGTTGAAACAAACCAGGATCAGAATTTCAGGTTGGATGATATAGTTTCCCTTGTTTCTTTTCCATTATCATTTCTTCTTCTTCTTGTTGCCATTAGAGGTTCTACTGGTATAACAGTGAGCAGAGAACCCGAACCAGCAATGGATGAAGAAGAAACCAAGTTGTATGAACTGCTTTTGAGCAAATCCAACGTAAGTGGCTTTGCTTCAGCCTCTGTAGTATCAAAGGCCTTTTGGCTATGGATGAATCCTCTGCTGAGAAAAGGTTACAAATCCCCTCTCAAAATGGATGAAGTTCCAACTCTTTCACCAGAACATAGGGCCGAGAAGATGTCAAAGCTCTTTGAAATGAATTGGCCTACACCACAGGAAAAATCAAAGCACCCTGTTCGAACTACATTGCTACGGTGCTTTTGGAAGGAAGTTGCCTTTACTGCATCCCTTGCAATTGTGCGGCTCTGCGTTATGTATGTTGGTCCTGTTCTAATCCAAGGTTTTGTTGATTACACTGCTGGAAAAAGAAGCTCTCCTTATGAAGGATATTACCTTATATTGATTCTCCTTGCTGCTAAGTTTGTCGAAGTGTTGAGCACTCACCAATTTAACTTTAATTCTCAGAAACTTGGAATGCTTATTCGCTGCACTCTTATCACTTCTCTATACAAAAAAGGGTTGAGGTTAACCTGCTCTGCTCGTCAGGCTCATGGGGTTGGACAGATTGTGAATTACATGGCTGTTGACGCTCAACAGCTCTCTGATATGATGTTACAGCTCCATTCTATTTGGTTGACTCCTTTGCAAGTTGCTGTCGCCTTGGTGCTCTTGTACAGGTACCTTGGCGCTTCAATGATCACGGGCGTGCTTGGCCTTCTTGGTGTTCTTGTCTTTGTGGTAATGGGAACCAGAAGGAACAACCGTTTTCAATTCAATGTGATGAAGAATCGTGACTTGAGAATGAAGGCAACGAATGAGATGCTTAATTACATGCGCGTTATCAAGTTCCAGGCGTGGGAAGAACACTTTAACAAAAGAATCCAATCTTTCCGTGAAACAGAGTTTGGATGGCTAAGCAAATTCTTGTATTCAATCTCTGGAAATATCATAGTAATGTGGTCAACGCCAATACTGATATCAACCCTCACATTTGGGACTGCACTTTTATTAGGTGTGAGGCTTGATGCAGGGTTAGTGTTCACAACGACAACTATCTTTAAGATCTTGCAGGAGCCCATCAGGACCTTCCCACAGTCCATGATCTCACTTTCTCAAGCAATGATTTCATTGGGGAGATTGGATACTTACATGATGAGCAAAGAATTGGTAGATTCATCAGTGGACAGACAGGAGGGTTGTGATGGTAGAATTGCTGTGGAAGTTAAAAATGGGGTGTTTAGCTGGGATGATGAAAATGGAGAGAAGGTTCTGAAAAATATAAATTTAGAGGTCAAGAAAGGGGAGCTTACTGCTATAGTAGGGACCGTGGGATCTGGAAAGTCTTCTCTCCTGGCTTCAATCCTTGGTGAGATGCACAAAATATCAGGAAAGGTATGAAGTCTGAGAATGAAGTAATGTCTTTCCACCCCTTCATTGATACATGCATTGTGCTCAACTTTTGTTGGTTAAAATGTTTGCATTTCATGATAGTTGGTTGTACATGTAGTTTTTTCTAGACCAGGGTTAGCTCTTTTATGGGACTTAGTGAATTTATGCATGTTTCTCATTTTGTCTTAAAATTTCTTTTGGGATTGCTCTTGAAATATTAAGAGGGGACAATTTCATCCATCCTTGTGGGCATCTCAAGTCAAGTTTCACTCAGTTCTTGATAGTTTAAGATGCAATAACATCAGCACAAAAATGCAATCAAAAAATGAATGGTTGTTAAACACAGGCTGTTTCCATGACAGGTTAAGCTTTGTGGGACAACTGCCTATGTAGCTCAAACTTCTTGGATACAGAATGGGACAATTCAAGAGAACATCCTATTTGGTTTGCCGATGAACAGGGAGAAGTATAGGGAAGTTATAAGGGTTTGTTGTTTGGAGAAAGACTTGGAAATGATGGAGTTTGGTGATCAGACTGAAATTGGAGAACGTGGAATTAACCTCAGTGGTGGCCAGAAGCAACGAATACAACTCGCCAGAGCTGTTTACCAGGATTGTGACATCTACCTTCTTGATGACGTCTTTAGTGCTGTCGATGCTCATACAGGGACAGACATATTTAAGGTGACATTATTATCTGATTTGTTGTCTGATTCCATAGATAAGCTCCTTGTTATCTCTTTCAGATTACTTTATCTGAATGTTATAATTTGATAAAAAAAAAATGGAAGTAGGATTTATGTTCTTGCAAATATAAATTGAAATATGAGTATTTTAGTGTAATGCATATGTGAGAAAATTACAAGAAAAGCAAGTTAATGGCTTATGAAATCTTTCTATGTTATCAGGAATGTGTGAGAGGAGCTCTCAAAGAGAAGACTATTTTGCTTGTAACTCATCAAGTGGACTTCTTGCACAATTTTGATCTTATCTTGGTAAGTAGAAGTATTATCTGTTTCCTGGAAAAGACACAAGCATGAATATGCATTCATGTAAAATTATTTATGTTTCTAAAATATTCATTGTCTAAATTACAGGTGATGCGAGATGGGATGATAGTACAGTCAGGGAAGTATGATAATTTACTTGACTCTGGCATGGATTTTGCAGCTCTGGTAGCGGCACATGAAACAGCTATGGAACTGGTAGAAGCAGGCAACACAATGCTTGATGAAAATTGCCCCAAAACATCCAAATCTCCTCTGGGTGTTTCCAACCTTGGGGAAGAAAATGGTGAAAATAAGTCTCAAGACCACCCGAAATCTGATAAAGGGGATTCTAGGTTAATCAAAGATGAAGAAAGAGAAACTGGTAAAGTCAGCTTGCATGTTTATAAAATGTACTGCACTGAGGCTTTTGGCTGGTGGGGTGTGGCAGCAGTGTTGCTATTATCTCTGACATGGCAAGGTTCTCTAATGGCTAGTGATTATTGGCTGTCATATGAAACTTCAGCTGAAAATGCTATTTCATTTAACCCATCACTATTTATTTCTGTCTATGCTATCATAGCAGCTGTGTCTCTTGTGTTATTAGTGTTCCGGGCCTTTTTCGTTACACTTATGGGACTCGAGACAGCCCAAATCTTTTTCAGGCAAATTCTTCAAAGCATCTTGCATGCTCCTATGTCATTTTTTGATACCACACCTTCAGGAAGAATTTTAAGTAGGGTAGGTTTCTCATCGCATCATATCTGTATATCTGGTTTTTTACTATTATTATTATTATTGCCCAAAAAATGAAAGTGAAAAGAAACAATTGGAGTCATATTTCCAAGAAACAAGTGATCAGAATAGCATGGTATCTTAGGACTGACAGATTCCTTCTTTTTTAATCCACAGGCATCAACTGATCAGACCAATGTTGATATCTTTGTTCCTTTCATTATGGGGATTACCATTGCTTTGTACTTTACACTGCTCAGTATCTTCATAATCACATGTCAATATGCTTGGCCCACAATATTCCTGATAATTCCACTTGGTTGGCTGAATTACTGGTATCGGGTATGAGTCTTTCATTTCAATTTACATGTTGGCATTCATTATTTTGTTTATTACAATCTAAACATCTTGTAAGAAATGATCATGTAATAAGCATTTACTGCAGTGGTTGCAGATTTAAACAATTATTTGTTCTATCCAAAGTGCTTGTGCCTAGCCAGACATGTTATTAGTCGTTCTAAGGGTCTGTATTACTTCAAATCTCAACCATCTATTCTCTTCAATTCTTGACCAAATATAATATGACCTTGTTCTCATTCACCACAATGAGTTAAATCTTGAACTTTTGGGTGCAGATTTTCTTTCTTTATATCTGGAACAGATGTTAGTTTATCTGCTTATGTCATAGCAAACCTTTTAATGGGGTTCAAAACCTGATTTCTGCATCCCAAGAGAGATTATAGAAGGTCCATTTGATGATATTAATTTCTCTTGATTTGTAGGGATACTACCTTGCATCATCTCGTGAATTAACTCGCCTTGACTCGATCACTAAAGCTCCTGTCATCCATCATTTCTCGGAAAGCATCTCTGGAGTTATGACAATTCGAGCATTCAGAAAGGATGATAGGTTTTGTCAGGAAAATGTTTACAGAGTTAATTCCAATTTGCGCATGGATTTCCACAACAATGGATCCAATGAGTGGTTGGGCTTCCGTCTGGAACTAATTGGGAGTGTAGTTCTCTGCCTTTCTACCTTGTTTATGATCTTGTTACCTAGTAGCATCGTCAGGCCAGGTAATTTTATGCCGCAATCTTAGTTCCGCCGACCAGACCTCGTAATGATTTCCATGTGAAGAAACACAGCATTTAATTAGTTGAATATATGTCATGGTCCTGATAGCAAGCTGTAAAGCAGCTGAATGCACACTACCATGCCACTTTTATACAACAAATCTTTTGGATTTTTACCATCTGGAGCCCTTGCTTTGTGATTATTTGATGACATTGTGTGCCTGACTCCATCAAAGACTTGCAAAAGATTGTAATTTTGATACTCATTATTGAGGTATAAGATAAACCGTTTATTGTATGATACTTTCTGGTTTAAGTATATTTGTGCAATCAATATTGTCATGTGTAAAATATGGTTCATTAACTTAGCCTAGCGAAATCAAGAATTAAGTTTCCGGATAGGTTAGACTTCATCTAAATGGAGGCCTACATGTAAATGATGGTATCTAGTGTCTTCAAAGATCTTTTACAATAATTCATGAAGAAAATTGACTTATTTTGCATAATGCAGAAAATATTGGGCTATCTCTCTCATATGGGTTATCCCTCAATAGTGTATTGTTCTGGGCCATATATATGAGCTGCTTTGTGGAAAATAGGATGGTTTCTGTTGAAAGAATAAAGCAATTTTCAAGTATTCAGCCAGAAGCAGGGTGGCACATTGAAGACCGTCTTCCCCCTCCAAATTGGCCTGCCCACGGCAATGTTGAGCTCAAAGACCTGCAGGTAACTGGCTTTTAGACTATTCTTGCTGTAACTTCTTCCGAACTGCCTGCCTTGTTGGACTAAATATCCTTAATTTTGGCCAACAGGTTAGATACCGCCCAAGCACTCCTCTTGTACTTAAAGGCATTTCTCTGAGCATTAATGGGGGTGAAAAGATTGGTGTTGTTGGTCGGACAGGGAGTGGGAAGTCAACTTTAATCCAAGTTTTCTTTAGACTGGTTGAACCAACAGGAGGGAAAATAATTATTGATGGTATAGATATCTGCAAGCTTGGACTGCATGATCTTAGGTCACGCTTTGGGATCATCCCTCAAGAACCTGTCCTTTTTGAAGGAACTGTTAGAAGCAACATTGATCCCATAGGACAGTTTTCAGATGAAGAGATATGGAAGGTAAGCATGTCATTCCAACAACAAACTGAGTCATTTTATGCCATGAAGAGATATGGATAATTGTTATTCCAATATTTCTTTCCTGTTTCCCCTGCCATCACCTACATGCATATTGGAAGATCTTGTTTCAAATCACTAGAAAAGTTTTTTTTCTTTTGTTTTTGCAGAGCCTTGAGCGCTGCCAACTTAAAGATGTGGTGGCTTCAAAACCTGATAAACTCGATTCTTTGGGTAAGCGGCTCTCGACCTTTTTCCTGAGTTAGTTCAATGAAAATAGTGCCCGAGAATTACCAAAATCCTTTGATTTTTCAGTGGCTGATAATGGCGACAATTGGAGCGTGGGGCAGAGGCAGCTTCTGTGTTTGGGGAGGGTTATGCTTAAGCACAGCAGGCTTTTGTTCATGGACGAGGCAACTGCATCTGTTGATTCACAAACTGATGCTATAATCCAAAAGATCATCAGAGAGGACTTTGCAGCCTGCACGATTATCAGCATTGCTCACAGAATTCCCACAGTCATGGACTGTGATAGGGTTTTAGTCGTTGATGCAGGTACCTGCTTCTTTCTAGTGTTACTTTTTCACCCGCTAGTCGTTAGCTTGAGTAATACCTCATTTTGCTACATTCGTTCCTAAAAGGAAAATCTCCTCAGAATAAATTAAGATTAGACTTCAATATTATGAATTTTATAGCTAATGTTCCTGGCTTTTGCTTCGTTTTAACAACACAGGAAGGGCAAAAGAATTTGACAAACCATCACGCTTGCTTGAGAGGCCAACAATATTTGCAGCATTGGTTCAAGAATACGCCAACCGCTCTTCGGGACTATAACCAAAGACTCTGCTGGGCTATGACCAAATCTCCTGGAGGACTTGTGCTCAAGCTTGCCGGTGGCTAAATTCGTTGGTGAAAAATGACAACATATTTTTTATGTGCCTAAAGTAAAATCAAACCTCGCTTTCCCCTCAAGCGCTGGACTGTTTTCTTATCTACTGCTTATTATTTACTTAGCATACCTTCATCTACAATTTCCAATCAAAATTTAATAAGATGTAATCTATCTCTTTGGCTAGCAATATAAGCGTGTAGTTCATTAGTCCTTTTTTTTTCTTCATGGATTTCTCGTGTTAGAACATTGATCTTTGGTCAGTGAATTAATATATGGTAATGACCATATCAATAAATTTCCAAACGGTTATGTTTTTCTCATTTCATTTCGAAATGAAATTTGTAGTGAGATTCAGTTTTAAATGAATTGTAATAGCGCTATATAAGTGGTTAAGTGGCCAACCAATCCGAGAGAGAAGAAGAAATAGCGATCGGATGGGGAGGTTGTGAAGGAATACAAACAGTCTCGTACGAAGGTAAAAGTTGGTCTCCCGAGGTAAAACCCTCATGTCTTAAACCCATCCTTCACTCTCCCTCCCAAGTTACCCTCTCTCATCGGTGTCGAGGATGCCCACTCCAAGTGGGACGACAAAGCCAGAGTAATCTAAAACTACAAGTCCTTCGGCGTCGTTTCCAACCCCTAACTTCCTCGGCTTCCGTTGTCGTACTTTGAGGTCTATTCAGGTTTGAGAGTATTTTGGTGAGAAAAAAATGGTTCCTTTAGATGAGAAAAGTTAACCCATGAATTCAACATTAGTATGAAATTCTAAAATTTTCTCAATTGCTTCATAAATTGTATTGTTAAACATTTAGAACTTTCACTTTCTGAACAATTTTTATATTCATTTTAGGACTAATAATGCAAAAAAAAAAAAAGAAGAGAAATTGCGTTACCCCTTTTCCTGCTCTATGAACTGTTTTAACGTGCTCTATCTTTGCCTTCATAGACTTTAAAACAGCAATGGGGAAGAAGCGAAGAGATGGAAAAAGCACACATTTACAGCCATTGACCACCGTGCAACGTTTTCATATAGGCCGGCTGATCGAGAAATTTGGCGATGACTACCAGGTTGGATGGTATTTCATTCTTATATTTGGAGTTCTAAATACTAATTCCTATGTTGGTAGTCTTCCTAATTAATGCTTTATTTTGCACAGGCAATGTTCATTGATACAGAAGTGAACAAGATGCAGCATTCCGTTGCAACTCTGGAGAGATAATGCAAGAGATATCATATGTTTGGAGAAAAAAATCCTTTGATATTAACCAGCTGAGAATGATTTATCATGCCAGTCTCTCGGGACTCTGGAGTTTGTATAAGTTATAAAAAAAAAAGTGATCCTTGTATCCTCGCTCAACTCCCAATTTGGATTATTGTATTCTCATCTTGGGAAGGAAGTAAAAATAATTCATTTTTCATTTTCATTCAAATAGTTCATTGGTCCCAGCTTTGGGTTTCTTAACCTTTTAAGTGCATTTCTATCTGAGTTATGTATCTTGAGATGAAATTGATGAACCTTCTGATCCAATATTGGCGCAGATCAGATTTAGTAACAGAAAGGAAAGAAAGATTTCGAAATTTGGCAGGTGGTTTATTCAATCACTTTAGAGAATATTTGTGGGAGTTTGGATTCAAATCCCAGCATTGCTTTTGTTTTTTCTTTTAAGGAAAGAAAAGTGCCATTTTGAAATTGGAAGGACTGTGAAAGCTATCCCAGTTATGATGCCCATTTTATCTGTTAAGTAATCCCCGAAACTGGTGAGCATGTGAAATCCCTAAGTTTTGGTGAGGGAATCAACAGATTCATGCTTCTCCAAGATAATACTCCACGTTAAAAAATTCTTTTTAGTTTCAGTATTTGGATATTGCGAGCAGATAGACATCATGCCAATAACTTAAATGCATGGTGGCAACTGTTATTGAAGAATAATTTACACTAGGAAAAAGAACACTTAACGAATAAGAATAAGAATGAAAAGATCTGCAGATATACAGGGGCAAAGAAGAACTGTTATTCAGACGCCAATGAACGCCTGACACTGGGATTCCCAGTGTTCCTTTGCCTGCTGAATTCGCTCCACTCTTTCCGTCTGAAGTCGCTGCTCCCAGTATCCATGGCAGCTCTTCAAAAAATGCATCATCTGAGTAAGAACCTGAAAATGGTTGCAAAAGCACAAGCAGATTGCAACTGGCAACACATTTCATTCATTTGCTGCTCTTCACTTCCACAGACAAATATATTTGAAAAAAAACGAAACAGGAAACCTAGTTAAGAAATCATTGAACTGATTAAAGATAGAATTAAGAACACACCTTCTCCTTAATAATATACCAAGCTCATCCAAATGTACAGCACCTTGATAAACTCCTGCTTGGATTCAGAAAAAAAAAAAAAAAGGTAAATTACAAAATGAAGAATAGTTACTTTTGATGGTACTAATATTGACATGCTTCTCAAGGTTCGGGGTGCTAACTCTTGCTCATTGCATCATCAATACAAAGATAAGAATCGTTTTTCCCCTTACAGATTCATTTTTACTGCTATTTTCATAACATAAAAGTGAGTTCTCTATGCTTGCGGTATGCTTCTCTTCAAGCTTGCTAAAGAAACTAGGAGTGGAATCCAGAGCTTAATTCAGGTGGTTCATGCAACCAACTTAATAGGTGGCATCCAACAAGTTTGGGGTTTAAATCTATGCAATCCCTTCTCCTATTCTTAGGTTATGGCCTCTTTCGTACCCCCCCCCTCCACCCCCCCCCCCCCCCCCCAAAAAAAAAAAAAAAAAGAATCTAGGGATGCCAACAGAGATTTTTGATTCTAGTCACTTACCATGTATGTGAACGGTATATGAGTAAAGAAGTAAAAGTATGACAAGGGCCTTGTGCGCAACTGATTTCTAAACATAGCCACAAGAATATTTTTCCATCTCATATGACAAGAAATAGGTAGAGGCCTAGTGGGGCCGTAAACCATGGTTCACTTATTGTAGATTGTATAATCGTAATTTTTCAATACAGAAACTTTGGCTGAAAGTAATAATGTTTAAATCATTTTCAGATCCTGCTAAAACAAGATTCTAATAAATTCTTGATCGATGCTGGTTTTTCTAGCATCATATTTGATTACAGAATGAATATAGTCTTTAGTCTACACAAACCATTCACCCGATGAGATTGAATTCCATGTCTATAGACTACTTAGTTCTCTATTATGAAAAGGGAAGCCAATTTTCCAAAGAATGAAAAAAAAAAAAAAAAACAGAAATAAAATTAGAGCAGAAGTTAATTATGGGACATAGACACTCACCTTTCTACATAAAGGGCACTTTTCTTTTGGCTCTGCTGCTTATAGTCCATCAACAATAGTCACCGATGCAGCTGAACAAGCGCACATGTAGCATAATATATGCCCACAAGTGAGCGATACTGGATCAAATACTGTATACTGTTGCATTAAGGAAGAAAATGAAATGCCTTAAATCAGTGAAGAGCCCCATAAAGGATCCTGCTAAGAAGATTTATTCTATTAAATTCTGCTTTAACTGTTGAGAATTTTGTTGAAATGCACAAGAAAATGCTCTCCATATGCTTCTAGATAGATAGCATACCATCATGATTTAATGATTTTGATGCTGAAAGTTTTTAATAGTTCAAAGTCCAACCAATGCGCCAGAATACCATGTCTTGGAGCAAAAACATCAGATCTATTTTTTAAAACCAAAGCTCTATGTCTTAGCTTGAAAATAAAAAATTTTATAGTTTTTATTTTCTTTTAGACGAAGTTCTAAATTTGACAAGTCTTTCATTTACAAAACAGTAAAACCATACTCTAAAACTCACTTTTGTAATTGTTGGTAATGTGTTTTACTACACTTTGTTTGGTAGAAAATTTTTTTATGATTAATAGGTGGATGGTGCACAAAGTGTCCCACTCTAAGAGCTGAAATATTCTAACTTACCAAACATATGGAGCATGTCCAGTCAATATCAAGCTTGGCAGAATAAGAAAGGTCACAAGAAAGGCATGGTTTGCCATCATAAATCTGAAGTAGCAGCCCTCCGACAATGCAGGGGTCTTCTCTAATTTGACTTTGGTTTCATTAGGGAGTGTAGGGTTCAACCCCATGTAATTGATTGATCGATTAAAGGTTCAAAGTCTTTTTGTTTTAGTCATGAAATAAAGTCCTACTTAATAAAAAAGAAAAATGGGTAGTTTTAGCGTGAAGTATGTGGCGCTAAAAAGAGAAAAAGAAAAGCTAGAAAAGATAGAGAGAAAAGGAAGAAGAGAGAGTTGGTTGAACTGAAGTCGATTCGTAGCCTGATCGAGTTGAAATTTTATCAATAGGTTTATAATTTAGAGTTTTACATTATGAACGGTGAAAATCGGTTTTGAAACTCTCTAAGAATAAATTTAGGGTGTATTTGTTAAGTTACCTATTTAGTGAGATTTCTCTAATTGTCTCTCTAGTTGTTGATTAGCTTTAGTTTTAGCCAAAAGAAAATTTTGTATGTCCATTTTTTGATAGTGGATTTTTTTAGTGGTTCGTGATTTTTTTTCTTTACACTAAAGAGTTTTTTCATGTAAATCTTGATGTGCTTTACTTTTTCTACGTTATTGATTACTGATTGTTATATATTACTTTGAGTTTTTTGTGATATATTGCTTTTGCATTATTGTGTTTGTTGCTTAGGCCTAACAAGTGATATCAAGCAAGGGTTATTTTAAGACATCCACATAGAAGCAACTCAAGACATAAGTAAATTTTGTTTAAGATCATAGAAGTTTATACGAGTTTCATGATAAAATTGATAGTATCAAATTATTCAATTCGAAAGTCTATGGTAAATGATCATTTATACTGTAAAGACTTATATGAGCCAGTACTGGGTGATTCGACCAAATCACCAGATACAAAAAATGAAAGCTGAAAGAAATTACGTAGAAAGACAATGGCTATAATAAAAAAATAGGTTGACATCAGTGTGTTCCATCATATAATGCAGGAGATAGATGCCCACATTATTTGAGAAAAATTGACAGCATTGTATGAGAGAAAAACATGCATGAATAAAGTTATGCTTATTAAAAAGCTTGCAACTTTACAATATAGGGATGGATGATTGGTTATAAAGCACTTAATGATTTTCAAGATATATTTAATCAAATGACTATTATGGAGCTTAAAATGGATGATAAAATGAAAAC